TATAATAACAGAACTGTTAGAATAGTTAGCAAAACGAAAAGAACGTTAATTAATTTATAAACCAGAATTTAAATATTTCTAAAGACATAATATTTGATCCCATTTAAATTTTATTATTACAAAGATTAATAACTATCAACTCATTTTGCAATTGCATTGTTGGTGGGAATGACTAGACAAATTTTGATTAGCATTTTACCTTGTACATAATATTCCTAAAATAAATCTAAAATTTGACTACAATTGGCCCAATAGTTTTAGAGATTAGCTGCATAATAAATATCGACACAGACGACAAACAGACAGGCGGAAAGGGGAGACCTATTTTTTTATATGCTCGGAGTCATAAAATACCTAGAAAACATAGTAGTAGCCATTTGCCAAAATGTATGTAAACTTAAACTAACCAAATTTTCATCACCAATTGTAACTGAATTTGCTAAATAATACTGACGTTACGAATGATGTTTTTCAACTGTTGCTAATTTTTGCGTAAGTATGTATTCGGATTCATGATATCTATGTAACTAATTACACTAGTGTATACATCACTAGTGACTTTCCCCTCATTTATGACTACGTAATGACTACAACCAAAGGTAAGGTTTGATGTAAAGTTCCAGACCACAAATTCTCAACTGTATATTATAGTGATATACAGTCTTCAGATTCTTCTTTGGAGACTTCCGAAAAGATGAAATTTGCAATCTTACGAATAGATACAGATTGACAAAAATTTTATGATAAATTATATAAAATTAGTGTAAGAACTTCCTCCGAATCCGGTAGATTTTTGATACCTAACTGCATAGTATTTTAATTCACTACTTAATGTTGGGTACATAAAATCGACAGGACCTTCTTTATTCATAGTTTTTACTTTCCGAGCGTAAGCGAAGGAAGTATTGTGATCGAGTCCATCGGTCGACTCCTTATTTTTATTATTCCTCGACCTTTCATGATCCGTAGAATATGAAGAAATGGGTCTCCTATTTCCGTTTGTCTGTCTGTCTATTTGCCACTTGTTCGGATTTTTATTAGACAAATAAACTACTGACCTGATTGTTGTCAAATTTTCTATGTATACTAGGGATATCATGCAAATGGTAAATCGCTCACCAACATTTGGCTAATCATCCTCACCACCAATGGAATGACGTCATCTCCAAAATGTACAATTATATACTTTTTTATTTTTTTATTTTTTTATAAAATAAGATACTCTTGCACTTGTGGTGTATGAACGTGTTGAACTACCCTTGACATCCAAATTTTTGGAAAAAAAAATCAAATTATTTAACATTTTGTAATTTAACTTTGAAACTACAAAACCGCTCTGGAATTTTGCAAACATTTTAAGGTTATCGTATAATGATGGTAAATCGTTAATCAAAATTTATTCGTTTATCCCCTCCAAAAAAATTGATGCCGTCATCTCAAAATTTTGTTTAATAAATCCTACCTAAATGTGCAAATATGATTAGTGTACTTGTGATTTATCATTCCATATGTTTTTAGAATTGCTTATGTGGGGTGACTTAAAAATATTAATGGATGTGTCAATTTATTATATTGATTAAATCAAGAACTGCAAAACCGAATGCTTTTAAATCTTGCAGACGTTTTAAAGTTATCGTAAGCACGGTAAATTTGTAATCTAAATGTATCTGTTTACTCTTCCAAAAATTAATGACGTCATTTCAAAATTTTGCCGAATAACTCCTATCGAAAATGTGCAAAATATGATGAGTCTGTACTTGTGATTTATCATTACATGTATGTTTTTTAGAATTACTTATCTCGGTTCACTCAAAAAAATTAATAAATGAGTCAATTACCTATTAGGAGTATTTATTAAACCACGAACTGGTCACTCCATTTCCCAGAAAATTTGGGAATGCAAATCTGTTATTATTAGGAGGTATAACATTCCACCTATCCAAACTGATATACATAGCCTTACAAAAATGTTGATGACGTCATCACAAAATTTTGTAACAGAAAAACTCATTTGAAACATACCCGTGGCACGCTTCTTACATCTACTTTAGCATTACATACATATCTTTAGTTCTTAAGTTCTAGTTCTACGGGTTTTCATAAAAAATACAATTCGCAAAATCAAATTTTAGCATTTTTCGAAAAAGCTGGATATCTTTTAATGTACTTCAGGTGCGAGGGAAGTTCTGTCGAAATTTTTTTCATTTTATATTATTACAAAAAACTTAAAAATTGTTCAAAATGAATATGACAACAATAGCTAATTTTTCAAACTTTACGTCCCGAGCGTGAGCTAAGGATGTACTGTAATCGAGTGCATCGGACGACTGGCTACTTTCATGTTTTCTTATCATTCCAAGATCCCTAGAGTAAAAAAAAATGGGCCCCTCATTTCCCTCTGTGTGCTGTCTGCCATCTGTCAGCCTCTATGTCGATTTTTATTAGACAGATAATTTGCGAAACTACCGGACCGACTGTTGTCAAATTGTGTGTGTATATTAGGAATATACTGTACAATATAGTTGGCAAAATTATGAACAAAATTTGACGGAATCTCCAATTTTTACAATAATAAATGTTATTTAAATTTTATAAAATAACATAGGTACTTCTTCATGTGTGATTTATGAATCTATCTTGAGTTATTATTCTAAACATTGATTTTTGAAAAAAAAATTAAAATTGTATGACAACATTTTACAATTTAACTTTGCAACTGCAAATTCAAATAGTCCAAAATTTTGCAAACGTTTCGCAGATATCGTAAGCATTATAAATCGTTAATCAAAATTATCCGTTTATCCTCTCGCAAAGGAAATTGATGACGTCATCTCAAATTTTTACCGAATAATTCAAAATATGCACAATAAAAGTAAGAGTCTATACCTATACTTGTAGTTTATCAATAATAGAATAATACATTCATATTTTTTGGAATTGCTCATACAAAAGGACTCAAAAGCATTATGAATGAGTCGACATGTTTTATTGCGCATCCCATTTTCCCGAATATTATTAATTCTTATATTGTTTATAGTATTACACTACACCTATTCAAACTAAATACGTGTCCCTTCTAAAATGTTGATGTTATCAAAAAATTTGTAGATGAAAAAACTCACTGGAAACATGAACATAATATAATAACTAATAGAGAAATAACTAGTACACGTTAGACAAAAATGTCGGGAACTGAAAATGGATGAATCTGGAAAGGGACTGACGTGGATAAAATATATACTTAAACCAAAAAAAAAAAACAGAATAGCGCTGATACGACGTGAAGGATAAAATAATAATTTATTTTGTAAGCTGCTTATGTTTACGTCTCAGAAATTGTATGTATTCACCACATTTCAAAAGCTATATACAATGTCTGCTAAGGCGGTATTTCTTGTTTGTTAATAAATATACGCAAAAATTTATCCACGATTGTCCCAGAATCTAATTTTTAAAACTGAACTTTTAATAATTGCAAATTCGTAAAAAAACAAACGTTGGTGTTAACAAAAGGGTGCATCTAATTCATATTTTACTGAACGATTTGATTTGCTCAATCCATAAGTCTCACTTCTGTAGTAATAAAAACAGTAACACACAAATATAAATCTGATCATTAAGCCTCTGTACTCAAAAAATTCGAATTTATTCATTTTCTGAAAACAACTTGAAAAAGAAAACTGTCGCGAGCTTTACTAAAACACACACAAAATAACATCTAATAGCAGTTTTTTTTAATAAGTAGGTATTTACTTTTTTGAAATCACATAATCATTTTTTTGGTGTAAATAAGTAGGTATATTACGTTACTATGTTCTTAGAACTTCGGAAAAATGAGACCAAAGGTTTTTAAAATAAATGACCACAAGTACTGGTTCACACAGAATATTTTAAGACATTCGAGGGCGACATATTCTGGAAAATAAAAACCTTCAAGGAAAGGAAAGATAAAGAATATTCAATAAAAAATTATTTCATAATTTTCTGTTCCATGAGTCTTCTAAGACAAATCAGTAAATAAATTTTGATTAATAGGTATAGGTACTCATAATCTTTAAAACAATGCTACAACAATTTCGAAGAAATCTTTTATATAATCCTCAAACTGTCGTAATCCTAGATTCCTCGTTAAAAATGTCCAACAAACAGTTAAAACAGATAAACAAAAACAGGAAACCTGCATTGTTCTAATCTACGCAAAAAAATCACACACGTGGGTTTTAGTGAAACCGATGTATCAACCATGCTCTCTACACCTAAAAGCAATTATGTAGTACTTACAAACTCAGTATTTTTGGTTCTATTATTTGTGAAAAGAAATATTGCTCGTATTGGAAACAGCGTTATGAAGAAAAATATGATCTGTTGACAAAAACTAAATCTGTTGACATGAATAAATGTTAATTTCATGAACAGGAGACTGTTACATAGATGTGATAAACGTTTTATGATTTCATGTAAATTAGAAATCTTGGATTAACAGCAGTTACTAACAACTGTTCAGAACATTTTATATTATTATTGCTACGAACATTAGGTTAAAGTATACAAATAACAGTGGCGATAAAAAAACTACGGAAAGTAGGGTTTTGTTAAATCAGTGTTCAATATATTGACTGAGTTAAGACGGAGAGTAACAGCTGCCGCTAATGTGCAGCTGGTTCCACATAGTGTAAAATTAAATTTTTAAATGTAAAAATTTAGATAGCTGGAAACAAAGAAAATGAGAATTAATACCTAGGCTCACTGCAAAAACAACAGAATCTACAAAGCCGAGGTGTCCTATTGCAGTATCACATGTTTTTAAGCATTGATTAAAAATGCACAATTGGAGATAAAATTTTAAAAAAGCATTGCTGTGTATGTACATACAAATATACTTACTGCTGTTACATTAATTTTAGCTGAACTGATAAAGAGCAACACAACAAGGACTACTTCAAAAATTATACATTTTATCTTTAGATTAGCTGGAAGACAATGTCCAAGTGTCAATAATGTTTCATCAAGAAATAAATATTTATTTACACAAAAAGTCATAAATAATTATATATACAATGAATTAACTTAAAAACTACTCCTCCTGAAACGAACGGTAACTTATAGCTCAGTCTCAAAAATTAGAGGTAGATCAACAACATCTTTGGCCTAATAAAAGTAACTAACATTGTAAACATTTATCTTTTCATGATATCTTCTATTGAAAAACCTAATTTGACTTTAGTTTGGGTAACACTTTTTGGAAAAACTTGCTCTTCTTCACCTTCACTTCTTTTCTTCGTCAAGTCTAAGCAAGTCGTGCTGGTAAAATGAACTTCTTCAACGGTGGTAGGAATCATTTCAATTTTAGGCTGACAATGTCTTAACTCATGCGTTTTGAGATCGTTGTAACTTGCAAAAAACTGAGCACACATCGAACATTCCAATGGTCGTTCCGTGTGGGTGAGAAGATGTGTTTTGAGATTGGAACGTTGGTTGAAGGACCGACTACATACTGGACATTTGTGCGGAGATTCTTCCATGTGGAGGATTTTGTGAACTGCTAGAGTCCTCGACTGGCAGAAGCCTTTCCCACACTCTGTACATTTGAAAGGTTTTTCTTTACTATGAATGTACCTAAACGTCGCACAAATTAATCATAGAAGTAGTGTTTTTTTTTGCAAAATTACCTGTGGTCTCTAAGATGGTCCTGCCGTCTGAAGGCCTTTCCACAAATGTCGCAAGAGTAGGGTCTCTCATCTGTGTGTGTTCTTTCGTGAATCAGCAAATTATAGCTTTTGGTAAACTGTCGATTGCAATACTTGCAGATGAACTGTCTCTTTGGTTTAAGTTTCCCTGCGATCAATTTGGGTTGTAAGGGCGCACGTCCTGGGCCCTTCATGCTCAAATTCTGGAACTGTAGTTTGGCATGGTACAGTGCAGCGTTTTGCAAATACTGGTTCATAACAGCAGTGTTGTAACCGTATGGTATGTTGGAGTATGGGTAGAAGCCTTCCGGCCTCTCGGGGTGGCGGTACCACGGATCGCAGTACCCTGGAGGAGGTGGGGACGAGTTCGGATACGTTGGAGTGTGTGGGGGCGTCAGAAGAGGCGACGTGCTGTCAGCTTCTTGCTTGACTTGCGGTAACTGACGTAGGAATCCTATCGAAAAGCCCATCAGTCCGCGAACACTTCAGAAAAAAAAGGTACTGACCTGATTTTGGCACCTGGTTGTAGGTCTCCACGTAACTACTGTTCATATTTATGTTCATTTTGTCACCGTCGCAACACTATTGATCGCGATAACTACCAACTCCACTAGCTGGCACCAACTGAGTTGCTACCACTCGGTTTCTGGCACCCAAGCGGGGTAGTGGCGGTGGTGGGGGCCGTAGAAAGGTTTTAGTAGCCGGGACCGCCTCGATAATTATGCTGTGCTTTTGCTATTCGTTGGTGGCACACTTGCGCATTGAATGCTTCCTGCGGATCGTTAAGCTGAAAATTAAATAGGGGTTGATGGGGCGGGGGTCATTTAAATTAGAACGTAATGTATTGTCGGAACGACTGTGATGTTTATCTACTGATGGGCGGTAATTGCAACACTATCTACGTGTGTCTGAATGCGATTTCTCTCATCGGAAATTAATCAATATTATAGCTACTGTTGAAATAAAGTCGATATCTTGAGTTATTGTCAATAAATGGCGGTGAACATCAATGGACTTTCTAGTGTGATCGATAAATTTTGAGTATTTTCCTACTACATTCGCGGCGCGTTTGATGGTGCAATTACACTGACACAATTTTCTTCAAATTGTGTCGGCATAGTTTATGTTGATTCAATAATTCTTTTATTTTTACATCATCGTCGGGTTTGAGTATCACTATTGGTGAATATTGATTACAGACTGATTTTGTTATACGCATTCCTCGGTAACCGCCCATGAGAACAAAGCAAATTCATTTTGCGACAAAAGAGCCCGAGAAAGTAAACAAGGTAAACACATAAAACAGACTGATTGTCGCACTCTGTGATGATGTCACTTGTCTCATTGCAACACACAAAAATATGTTCATAGAAAACTTTGATGACTATTTTGTTAGTAAACGTTTTGTAGAGAATCTTCAATACTTAATATTTAATCTACAATTATTACACATCTATAAAAATACAGATCGTTACAATTTTTTCAAAAATTTAAATAGATAACTAGTATAGGTAGTATGATTAATATTTTGAAAGCAGTAGTAGGATGTAATATACTAATAATAATGATATATTTTGTTAAAATAATGTTTAAAAAAATATTTTCCTTCCTTTTAAAATAATACATTAACAGGTTCATAATAAGTTTGTCTTAATTGTGAATGTGAATTATTAAAATTTCCCAGTCACAAATGCAAAGCCGACTCATCAAACTAAACTGTAAATTTGAATGTAAAACAGAATTTTGAAATACCTAAGTATTTACAGATAAATTTGTATTTCAGCGGATTTAATGTGTACCAAGACAATCAAATTTGCCTGTACAATTAACAAAATTTGTACAGAATAAAAAACTTGCAAATAGACCGTTGTAACAATCATTGTCACGTTGATTTTTGTTTTGTTGTCACGGTGTATTTAATATTTACAAAAATACTTATTAACATAATATTACAATTTTCTAATAATAAACTTAAATCGAAATGTAACAACATCAATAAAATTTATTACAGCACCTGTATAATACAATCAATAATGTTTCAAATAAAACTAAACAGCTAGTCATTCTATTAATAAAGTAAAGTGCTTTCAAACTACAAGTACTATAGGGTAAATTGTATCTATTATTTTTTTAAGTCGACTGTTTCTTGGATATCCTCATCCATAATTTATTTTCTATAGTAGTAACAACTAGTGTCAGCAACAATATAGGAAGCTGATCGTTCAGTTAATATAAAACATGTTGCGTAACACAATATTCAATATACAAAAAGTGGGTTCTATCTGGTATAAACATTCTGTGCAGATATTAAAAACATCTTTTTTATACAAATACTATTAAAAGTAGGCTTTTTGACGTCTGTCATAAAACGTTAAAATTATCACTTCATGCCACTCATGTTAAAAGTAAAATTATTCATAAAAAAACATCGCCTGTAAGCAATCTCGTACTGCTGCCTCGACTTCGTCGGAAACAAATCGAGGGTAGCTCTCTTATTAGCTGGTTCTTTGATTTCGTCTGGTATTGCATCTTTTTCTTCGTTTTCTTCAGTATTCATGCTTGCAAATACTTATGGAACGTTTTGTTTGTAACTAACAACAAACTGACAGTTTTTATAATTTGTTCACATCTACCCCGAACTTATCGACGGCTTCCAACAAACCTTGTACCTATAGGGAAATTTAACAAACTCTGTCATTTGCGCAAATTTTCTGTACAACTTAAAACTCACTATTGAAAGTATTTATAGTGATAACACAAATTACAAATAATAATTTGACCAATATTATCTTCTATTAATACAAGTAGGTAATTCATAATATTTTACACCGTTAATGCTGTGTTGAATTATACTTACTTTTGACCGGATCTTTACTTCCTAATAAATTTACTAAAAAGGTCAGATCCACAGAAAAAACCACAAGACAATAGAAAAAAGTCTACGTTGCATTGCTTTATACTGAAGTAGTTTTTTACCTGTTAAAATCACTTAGGAACATTTTACTGTTGTCGCTCCTACTGTTTATACGTGTGTTTTAAACATAAATTAATCATTAATAATAATTAAATTATAGTACGATGAAAATAAGAAATTATATATTACTTCAGTTATGGTGATATTTTTGATTTTTTTTTTCTAGGTAATACGCATAAACTAAATTTTCAGATATAAGTAAAATCTTTTGGCTGTGAAAAATTCCTATATTCCTAAATTATGTAATAAGACTGATTGTTCTTTTTTAAATTGTTAATTGTTATTCCAATAGTCTAAACTGTTAAAGTCTGTAGGAAGAATAGGTATAACATATTATAATTATCGTATCACACATACTTCACTAAATTATGTAATTTATAGCTAAGTTTTTTCAGAGTAATACCTACCAGAAATGAGATTTTGGTACATTTCACACGCAAAATGCATTCAAACACGTTTTTGACTTAAAATATTAAATTCGAAATATTTTCTTTTCGTAACACATTTAAGAAAAAGTCAAAATTTTAAAAAGCACCTACATATTTCATTTACGCGAGATCGGTGTTCGGAGTGATTTTTTTACCCTCAAACATGACTAAAAAAATATTTCAAAAATCTCATACACCCGTTAATCTTTGAAATTGTAAAATAGTTGTAAATATAAAATAATTATTATAAAGTTGTAGAAGATGAATCTGATAATGGTAATAATCCCATGTATGTACCATATACCTATTATCGAAATACAAACTCCTTCACAGTTACAAAGAGTTCTTTTTTATCTTTATATTAGATTAATCTTTGCGTTTCCTAAATTCATTACCAAATGTAAAGGAGTTTTAGTTGTGTATGCATAAATTATGAAAACTTACTTCTAACACGACTCACGACTATAGGTAAAAAAGTAGGTATACTTAAATTTTTGTAAACAAATGCTGATAAAAAAATTAATGTTGTGTTTAAAATGTAGTACACGCTGATCATCATTTTTAGCGACAAATTTACAAGCCATGTTAAACTTCCAACAGTATTAAAGTTTTTATAGATTATTTTGAGACGATATTTTGTTACATTCTGGGCAAGTTCATGTGAATAAATAACCTAAAATTATTTGCATTACAAAATAGCTTTATTTTTCAAAACAAATCTCTGTGATTGTACACATATTTTTTATTTACTTTACAAAAACAAACACTGAAAAATATGATTTTCTACGTAGTGTATAATATATAGGTAGATAGATATACATAGGTGGACATATGATTTGCAAATTACGCTGTTCCTCTTTTTTTTTATAGACCAAAACGGAAAATATTAAGTGAGAGAGATGGATTCATTTTGATGATTTATTAATATTAATTTAATGTATTTTTGGCATTTGACAAAGTGGAATAGAAAATGGCATTTTCCAGTTTCTTTTTGGTGTTTTTTCTGTTCTGCCTACTCACTGTGACATGTCTGTTACCTGCGAAAATGTTTCTATGGTCATCTTACTCGAAATGATCTCCACAACATACTGATCATTTACTTTAAGATTTCACTTTTGACTTTAATTTTAGTTAATAAGACTTGTTTTTAAAATACAATACTTATTTGTGTCAAATTTTTCATTTGTTGTCACGTGTCGTAGTGTACAAACTTTAAAACTTTAGCTTAGATACTTACTTACAGAATATTATTCAAGATTCACTTAATCTTCCCTTTCGCAAAGTTGATATCGTTATGTAAAAATTTAATTAATCTCTTAAAAAAAATGTACCTACACACCTAAGATAGGATATTATTTTTTAAAACCTATATTTACTTACATAGGCTCATTGAGAAAATTGTAGCGTTAATAAATTATTGTGTTGTAGATGCCTCAGAAAATTAGATAATATATATAATTGTTTTGCACCAAAGAGTTGACAGCGTGATTTGAAAATGTAATTGTGAGATATACACCGTATCGTTTTAATTCTATACCTACCTATATAGGTATATGTAAAATTTTGGTGGTATTTACTTCGACAATTTCTGTGCAAAATTTGCATATTTAATAACAATAAAATTTAAAGAAAAGATTGTTTTATATATTTACATCGTTTTATTTATTTTTTTTTATTATCCTGTTCCTAAAATGTACAATATCGTCATACTTTCTGATTCATATAGGTATTGTAAATAATTTTACGGTTTACATTTTGATACATGACTGATAAAATAACAAAACAATAAATATACCTCTTCGTACATACACATTTACAAAATTTCAGTGTAGTCCAAAAAGTAAAGGATGTAGGTAATTGTTGGAGAATACCGTCTTTTAAATTAAACTTACTAAAACCTCCACTTTATTTTCCATCAAAGGATTTCACTACAATGATGACAGTTTGTCCGGAAATAATATTTACTTTCTAATAGTTTCGTTCGTAGATTTCCTGTCAAAGTAATCATCGGTATTCGTTATTTGCGAAATATTGATTTTTTTATGTAAACACAACACAAAAAAGGTAATTGTGAAATGGCGTATTAATAGTAAATGTTCTGACTGATATCATCGACACTCTAGCATTATCAACCATACGGCAAACCTTTACGCAAATTAATAGGCCGTAGGGCTTACGTGAAGAAGTCAACATGTGGGAGCTGGTATATATCGAATTTATGATGGGCAAACCCGCCCACTTGTGGTTCCAGGATAAATATACCGATTCTAGGAAAAGCATGTTTAGTTTAATTTGAATATGAAGACTGACAAAGGAGCAATAAGCATACCTGGTACCCAATACAAGTATTCGAAAACTCACGGCTTGT